TGGCCATCTGTCTGTCATCTCGGCTATGGATTTGAGAAGGTTGGGCCAGGTGATGCGGCCCATCTGTTTCCTGCTTTTAATATTTCAAAAATACAATGAGTGTGCATCGATCCAAACCACCGAGACTGAATAAGTGAAATTTCTTGGACCAAAGACTACACCGAAAAGTTAGGTGAAAAACATAAGTTATGATGCAAAACAAAAATGTAATATTGGAAAAAAAAACAATAATTTTAAAGTTAATGTAACATAAAAGTGAAATTTGCACTAAATAGGACTAAAACATAATGACTTTTCTCATGTAAGACTTAAACTTTTTTATTCCCTAGATAAGACTTAATAATGACCTAATTGAAGGAATATTGTCCAGTAATGATGGACATTTAATTAAATAATGATTACTTGATAATGACCAAAGGTCCTGCATTGGAAAATAAAAACATATGGTCTTATATTGAGAAAGTCATTATGTTTTAGTCCTACTTAGGTAAATTTCTCAACATAAAATACAATAGAAAAATTCAAAACTATAATATAAAAGTGATTCAAGAGCAGATTTTATATAATAAAAAAAATTGTTGACTTGTCTGCCGGTCAGGACCGGTGACTGGACCGAACCCCAAATAAGAACAATGTGAGAATCGATGATCAAACTAAAACGGGACATGCCTAGTCCGGTCTTGACCAGATTCCAAATCTGTAACACCCCAATTCGCATAACCCAAATACAGTGAGTTAGCGGACCGGTTTGTCACTAGATTTGTATTTTCACACAATTTTTCAATAATTAAAAAAACTTTATTTCAAACAATTTAATCAAAACATTTTTAATAAAACAACATCGGAGATTTCATAATATTTTGGAAGCTTTATTTAGTCAACATCATTATTACATAATTACCAACATTTAATTAATTCATCAATAATTGGATCCGACATCCGTACATCTCATCTGTCTTGCGGCTTCTCAGAAAATATTCCATCTTTTAACAAAATGATACCTGTGTGTAGCAAATAACAAAACATACTACACGCTCAGCGTTGAAGCTGAGTAAGGATATTTAATGCTTCGAAGTTCGAACATCCATATAAATTGAATCTTAGTTCACAAATAAATCAATTGATATCATACACATAATATACATTTCAGATATTCAATATTAGATCATTTATTATCAACACATGGTGTTCAATTCAGATATTCAACGTTCATATTGTCAGTAGTTCTCTTAAACTATTTTTAGATTAAGACCAAATTCACAATGATAAGAGAGCTCTTGAACTATAATAAGTCTAAGGCAAAATTCACAATGATAAGAGAGCTCTTAAACTATAATAAGTCTAAGGCAAAATTGTAACGCCCTACAAACCGGTCTGGTTTTAAATAAATAAATATTATTTATTTATTGAGACTCATTATTTTAAATTAATAAATATTGAGATTTCAATCTCTTTAAATGGCTTTCCAAAGCTAATGTATTTTAATTATAAAAGATGTTTTAATAACGGGCCTCTTGACATTAATTAATTAATTAAATTAATTAATGATTGGAATAAAGTTTATTTCCACAGTGGGCCCGTCCAGGAACCTTTGGGATCCACAGGTTTTCATCAGGTGGGCTTTGTCTACGTACATAGTAGTCAGGTTACAGCTACTACCCAATTTTGCTAGTTCACTTGCGACGTTACGTTGAGCCCAGCTCATTATCAGAGTGCAGAGGTGATCTTGTCAAGTGAGACTAAGCCAGGGGTGTCCCTGATAGTTTAAGTCATGCATCAAGTCATGTCGTCATCATGTATGTCCCACGTCACATCAACATTCAATGTGGTTGTTGTTCATTTTGTTATGTGCAATTATAGTATCTCATCAAGTGCAAATCGAACAGTTAGTAAAAATGTGGTTTTCCGTACGTTAAGTACATGTAGTATTATGTGTATAACAATATGGGTTATCACTTTATGTTCTTTTGTTATATTCACTTCTCAGCTTTTGCTGAGCGTGTAGTTGTTTTTGCTACACGCAGGTGGACATGACGGTACAGGTGCTAACCCTGAAGGACGGCGATGATGAGGAGATGGGCGGCACATGGACGAGTTTAATATTTATTTTCATTTAATCAAATAATCATTTGGGCATGAACCCACCATTTGTTGTTTTTACTTACTTTGGACTTATTCATTTACTTCCGCTTTTACTCTGCATTTATAACACACACGTTTTGGGTGTAACTCCCTAGCATTTAATTCATCAATTAAACCCAACAGTTTTCATAATAAATAGACATCAATGTTTTTACGTTACGGATGGTTCTCGGACCACCCATGTAACCCTACCAGTCCGTTGGGTCGCGGGTGATCCGGGTCCACGGAAGGCGGGTGTTACAAAAATTCACAATGATAACAAAGCTCTTAAACTATAATAAGTCCAAGGCAACATCTCTAACAAATTATTAAGCTAATCAGGTTTAAGATACAATTTTTAGAAAGGATTTTCAAATTTCTTAAACTAGTCTTAGCTTAAAATACAACAATGAAACTGAAGGCGGACTAGCTATTCCCACTACAAAAAAAGGAGACAATACCAACAAATAAGATTTCTGTCCCTAAGGATCTGTCGATATTGCCCTCTTTTTTTGTAGTGTCCAATCGGTTGGGTGGTACCCCTAAGTGAATAGATATTCAGCTTGGTTTGAGGATGTCGTACGTATGTTTTAACCCAAGCCACCAGGTTTCATACCCGCAAGGCCAGTCTAAATATATCTTAAAATGTCTATCCTAGAGTTCTTCTAGAAAGCCTAATCATATGGGTATATCTTAGAATTGTTTTAAATAATTGTACTCAAACACATCATTATCATACAACACATTCAATTACAATTATTTTCAATATTTATTTATTCATAACAATATTTTTATATTTTATTCATTATCCCACAAAGCATCATATAATCATAACCAATTATATACAATAAAATCATTTTTAATATCAATGGTATGTTCATCATTAAATCATAATGAATAATCCTCACAATGTTATACAACAACTAGTGGCCTAGCATCGGATTTTAACAGCCCAACTTATTGTCATGCATCACACAAGATTCTTTATTTGCCAAAAACATCATATTTAATTATAAAAATCATTTTCGTATTGATCATAATCAAATGGTATCAAAAATAAGATTTTATAGTTTCAAAAATAACATTTTTGGACTTAAAAATGTTCGTAGCAGTCGTACGGTACCTTATCAAGGTACCGTGACATGGTACCTTGGTACTGTTAAACAGTATGTAATTACCGTAAACGCGCAAAGAGAAACGTAGGTCACTATTCATCATCTTCAACCTTCAACCCATTTTTCTCAAACTCCATTTTAGGTCACCAAACTTCAACTGAGCTATATAGAAATGTTTTTCAAGGTTCGTAGATCATTTTAGAAGCGTCAATTTGATGTTTTAACAACAAATTCAAGGTTTATGATTCTTGGTTCTTCAAGCACGTCAAACACAAAACTCAACCAAACATTCATTTATGAACGTGAAAATGATTTATATAAACATTCTAATCACTAGATATATCTAAGGGCTTACATCGAAGATTAACGAAGATTCCGGAGATTGAATGGCAAAACTTCCAACGACTACCATGGCTTCTTCCGGTGACCTTAGGCTCTCTGGTTAGCACCATTGCACTCCTCACAATCTCAGGAACATAATAGAAGGAAAAGTTGAGGGAATTAGCGAAGAATAAGGGGAGTTACTCTCCATTATATAGTGAAGGTGAAGAAAAAGAAGACAGTTGCTCAGTTGCTATTGTGTAGGATTCCCACACTCCGCTCTTACGTTCGGCTATAGTGCGGTTTAGGGGAATTTAGCACGCTTCTTCATTGATTGGGACTTAATTTAATTCCAGTCGTGGTACACGTTTTGGTCCAACTTTCTCCAAATTGAATTCCGATTATACCATTGTGTTTGTACAATTAAACTCTATCCAGCGATATAATTTTTATATTTATTTGAAATATTTTTTCTGACATCATATTTTAGGTGTTTGACTTTGACAGAGTAAAAATTGATTTAATTAATCTTTTATTCAAAGGATTATCATTTTGTTTACTCCAACGATTTATTTAAATAAATCATCTCAATAGTTACATCAATCAACAATTCTTTATTTATTCTTGATTTTGGATCAGTACTCTAGTTCCCAATCAAGTGAATCAAGATTACACAATTAGTCAATATATTATATTTATTTCCAAGAGATTTATTTAGATTGTGATAATTGATATCTAAACATATTTTATTTCGGTTCAAGACCCAATAATAATTTATTTTAATAGAAACATATTTGTTTAATTGAATAATAATTCAATATAACTTTTATGGTATATTTTGGGCATTATAGAATCGGTCCATGTTTAGACCGGATAATGGACACCCCTAGTCCCCTAGGTCCGACATTACTTCGAACCATATGGACATTATACTAAACGAAACAACTAAAAGGGAACTTAAGTATACTCAATTTATACGATAACTAAATATTTGTTTCTCACAATTCATAATAGGGAAGAATCATGCTTCGATTTTTCATATTTAATGAATTTTTACATAGAAAATTGACTAATTTGAAAAAAAATATACTCCGTATTATATATGATCATTTTTTTTTAAACGGATGGAGTATTTCTTAAACTTCATTAAAGTCAATATTGGTCCGAAGATAATATAAAAATAATGGTAAATGGAATTTCTCATTGGGCATTGGCTTCAGTGGCAGTATGAATATGAACAATATATTTATATAGATATCAACCAAGGCAAGAGATCTTCTTTGTTCGATCACGTATCTGATAGGTTCTAATATGATTAAAATAAGTTCCCATATAAACTAGTCTATTCTAATTATATATAGTTATATTTTAAACTATTTCTAGACTGATTTTAATAATTATAAATAATAAAAAAATAAGTCCAAGAAAACATGACCTTAAACACTAATCACATCCTAATGTATGGAATGATATACACATCAAATTCTTTATTAGTGGGAGTTGATTTTGCAAATTTATGGTGTAGTGGGTTTAGTCCCAAGCATATATAAGCTTGTATCAATAGATGACTATCAGATGCAAGTAACATTGAAGATTCATCATCACTGTGGGAAATTTTCCAAGGAGCAAACATATGTCTTTTAATTGCAAGCATGCCTTCTCTTCCAACTATACACAAAAGTAGCGCGCACAATTACTAGCTTCATCATCGATCATTAGAACAAACCTGTGAATCGTCTTGAAAACTTGATTTTGCTCAACTCGGTGTGTTGTACGTCTCGGTGACTGTCGTCAGCTCACGGATTCGGAAATGCTCTGCAAGGAAGGACGCCACTGTTTAGAGCCGCCTCCTGCAGCATTGCTTGGTTGCCCAGACCTCGCCCGTTGTCTTTCACATCTTTTGGCCTGGAAATTTACTCAATTAGTTGCAACATATTCCTCAACGAGTTACATTCCAAATGATCTGGTTGGTTGTCTACTTGAATGAGATGCTAGAATATCACACAATGGAAACTTAGAGAAAACAAATTGATTAATAAGATACTTGAGTCTGTTGAGGATATAGTCCCAAACCATAACTTTTTGTTGGCTAAGGTAGATGTTGGATTGGAGAGAAAGCCATTTTCAATCTTTGTAAATTGTAGATATTGTTTATTTTCAATTCAATTCATGAGTTCATTCACATTTCAGTTCAGTTCAGTTCAGCTTGAGCAGTTCTGAGTAAGCAATTAACTATGAGTTCAGTTTAATGTGTCCATTCTCAAATCATTGAAAAGAACAAACCATTAGTCACCCTAACCAAAATGAGTTCATTCAAAGCATTTAACTGCCAGTACTATATATGTCCTGCAAAACGGTTTAAACATGTCTCTTTTGTAAAATCATGTCCTTTTGAGGATTGAATTGTGGGTTCATCGAACTTAATCATGCAATTTCACCTTTATTAGTAACTACGTTCAGTCAATTGTGAAATTTATTTCAGAACGAAGGGAGTATGTTAGATTCATTGGGCATGAAAGTGTTCAAAAACAAAAGAAGGAATGATACATGAAATTTCAAAATTGTCAGTGTTATAGGGGTGTTCTAGGGGTGTAAACGGATTTTAATCGGATCGGATGTGCTATTACCAAATCCGTATCCGTTTACTTTTGTCGGATATCGAATNATATCTATAGAGAAACAAAATATAAAAATAAAAAATTAGGAAAGACCATATATAACGGATCGGATACACGGATAAACGGTTATTTAAACGGATGTCAATGCGGAGCGGATTATAAACGGATCGGATGTATGATTACCAAATCCGTATCCGTTTAGCAATCGGATATCCTTAATCGGATACGGATAATAACCGTTTTTAACGGATGCGGATATTTTCTATATAAACGGATACGGATGCGGACGGTAATCGAATTTTCGGTTATCCGTTTACAGCCCTAGGTGTTCACTGCTCTAGATGCACGAAATATATCATGATAAGACAATGGTATGACTCATTGTATGAGCCTCCAGTTCTTTCAAGTTCCAATTTATTTTCAAGTAAATGCAGTTCAATACTCCTACTCGATTTTAAGTTGTATTCATTTCGATACTCTTTAGCTATCTTATACGGATTTTTCATATAAGTGGCACATCATGTTCCCGAAAATGTCCCGTTTGGGCACTTGGGGATGTCCTTAAATCCAAATTAAATCCTTTATAAATCAGAAAAGTGCACCGTTTATCCCCAAATTCATTGAAAATTGCACAATTTATCCCTGATCATTAAAAAGTGAACCATATACCCTTGAATTCTTCAGAAATTGCACGATTCACCCCTGAACATTAAAAAGTGCACAAGATACTCCTGAACTCGTCAGGAATTGCACGGTTTACCACCGAACATTTAAATAAAGACGATAATTTTGGGAAAGAGTATTTTGGAGAATTCACAATGAATCATACACTCAATTTTTGTACATGGGAACAATGCACTCCCTATCTAGCATATTAGGACCAACGGTGCAACGTTTTAAATTATTTATGAATATTCGGGATAAATCATGCAACTTTCGAAGAGTTCAAGAGTACACGTTGCACATTTGACTGTGAACATTTGAACGTTTCCCACCCGTCCGTCCCACGAGCCCCTCTAGCCTCCAGGTGCAACTTTACTAAGCTTTTTAGTTCAAGTCAATAGTGAATCCATCACTTTTAACAAATAAACATTCAAATTTAAATTATTACCCGAGTAAACTTCAATTTTGATTTTTTACCACACATGATTGAGGTGGGTAATTAAACCATTCAAGTCAAAAATTGGCATAGCCAACTAAGCCAAGCATGTCATACAGAGCCCATAAATGCAATTATTATTCGCTTAATAATGAATTTAATTACCTGATTAATCCTCTCGGCAGGTCCTGACTTGAGAGCTTCTTCTTCTTCTTCTTCCCCACATCGCCTTTGCTGCTGCATATTCTCTGATGAAATCTTCTTCTTCATCTTTGCACTCTTTTTGGCCTTCAAAACCTTCATCACCTCTGCAATTAACAATAAGAAGAATTTACATAAATAGCACTACATGTATTTTTTTCCCAATGTAACATTTTAGTCATTATTCATTAGTCATTATTCAAGTAAATGTTTATCATCACTGGTCATTATAGACATTATTAAGTGCTATTTAGGAAATAAAACAATTTAAGTGCTATTTAGAAAAATGACTTAAGTTTTAAGTTTTAATGCTATTTAGTGCAAATATTTCTAACAATAATCGTTAAAATTGAGCTCGAAAAAACGCATGTGTATATATATGTATACAGTAAATGAAATTAAATAACAAGCAATTGGAAAACCTTGATTGGTGATCAGCCGATAGGCTCTTCCGAGAACCAAGGTGTCGGTGGGCCGGAGGAGTTTGACGCGGGTGAAGCGCACGGCCCTGCTGGCGTCTTCGTCGGGAGCGGGAAGGGGGATGATGAGGGACACGTGGTGGCCGGGATTCAGTTTCATTACTTCGCCGGCGGTGAGCGGCCAGTACATCCGCTCCAGCTTTCCGCTGGGGTGTTGTATGACCAGCGCCGCCGCGTCCACAGCCTGGCAATTTCCCATCTATCGATTTTTCAATTATTTAAATTTTCTATGGGCGTGAAATGAAAAGGAATGAATGACTGAATGAGAGGATGATGAAAGGAGGGGAGTGGGAGAAAGGAGGATAATGAGAAAAGGATTAAACTATTTGTACCTCCAAACTTGTAGATATTATCTAAAAGACATGTATCGACATTTTGTACTAATGTAATCTTAGTGTGTAGATTTATATTGACAAAAAATAGCAGTACAAAATTTTTAACTAAATTATATTTTGTACTAGTGTAAATCACTAAAATATTAGTAAATTTCTTTGAGGTAATAATTAGGAATACAATTTTTGGTATATCGCTACTAAAGTTGATAGAAAATATAGGACATGCAAGCATGTTAGAGGCAACTATGTTAAACATAAGGTTTCTGCAAATACCACGAGCAGATTTCATTGTTTATCATTAATATACGATTAAAATTTAAGTGATCGTCCGATAGGATTTTCAGGAATGAGCCTAATCTGTTTTTTAAATAGAAAAATAAAGGGGGTTAAACGGCCCACTCAACTACCCACCAGCAGACGTCACCTCCGGACCCCGCTGGATGTGTCTCGCACAGTCACGCCTTCGAGATAGTATCATTTATCCATGTCCCACTATTTTATTGCCTTTTGGGTGGTTCACATCACTTAAAATATTCATTTTATTTGACCTTTTTATTACTTTCTTCATTTTTTATTTTTTTGGTCAAATTCCTTTAAAAAAGGTCAAATTCTAGCATTTTTGAAATAAATACGGAGTATAGTTCAAAACAATCAAATATTACTATAAAACTTTGATAATTTAAAATTATATTGTGAAATAAATCCAATTTTAATAAATTTACATTAAAACTAAATATACATTTTCATATTTTGAGGTCAAAAGCTGCCATACTTAAACCAAAACAAAATCAAAGTATGGTACTCTTTCAAGGATGGAATGAGTAAAATATAAGAGCAATCCCCAAATGTACACCACCCCCTTCTCCATCACCCATTTTTATTTTATTCTTATTTTTTTTTAAATTTCTTGTCTTTTTTTGTGGACAAAGAGGGGGTGGGGGACAAATGGGGTACACATTTGGTGTACCCCTAGCATTTTTCAAAATATAATCCTCTAGTCTTAAAAATTTATCATATCCTAACATTTTTTTGTTAAATACTCCTCCGTCCCAGAATATTCGTCCAGTTTTGACTTTTGGAACTGTTCATCTAAGCACTTTAACTCATCAAATTCTCTCAATGTGTAAGTCTAAATATAGTCATGTGTGATCTTGTTTGATTTGTTTTAACATATAGATTATTAATATATAACTTCTACAATTTTTTAATATACAAATTACAAGATAAAATGGATTAAAGAAATGTATTGGATGTTGTATAAAAATGAAAGTAGACAAATACTCTGGGACGGAGGTAGTAGTACTTTATTCATATCTAATTTTATAACAAATTATGAACTACGAGGCAAAATCTCTAATTTTTATAAATTACTTTATTTACAAATTGATATACTCCGTATCAATTTTTTATAATATTTATTTATGTAGATTATATTTAATTTATGATAAAAAACAGTTAGTACTTGACTAAAAAATCAAAAACAAGGAAAAAATTTTAGGGTCGAAGAAGTACTCCGTATATTTCTTTTGTTTTAGCGTATTTATTCATATTAATTTTTTTTATCAAATTAGAAGAACACTAGACCTTAATTATTTTTTGTAACGTACGGTGTATATTACTATAATTAAAGTTTTGAATTCATTTAACAAGATAAATATAACAAAATCAAGCAAGAGATTGACGTTATATTTAAAATTTTGACGTGTGATAATCAGTGCTGGGGCTCATCCACATCTTGTAAAATACTCCGTACTTAACTGCTCAAACATATTCAATCAACAAATCAATAAATTTAAACCTATAATTACTTTTAAAATAATGGTTTTAGGCATTCTCATCAATAAAATACGAGTTAGTTTGAGTAATTTTATATTCAAAATATAGTAAAATTACGTACTCCCTTTTCAATTTCAAAAAAGTTTGGAATATAGCAAGGTGTATCTCATACTCTCTACACAATATAATTTTAGATTTATATAGAAAATTAGAAAAGTTCGAGAAAAATGTATGGTTAGATAAGTGTTGGAATATAACTTCATCATCTTTATAAAACATTTTTGTTTTGATTTTTTAACATTTCTGTTTTGATTTTTTTTAACGAAAAGTAACACTCTTTTGTTGAATATTATGAAAAAAGTATATTTAATTATAATATAAATTTAATATAATTAAATTTATCTTAAAGTGTTGTTAAAGATGGTATTTGTTAATACATACTCAATTTTTCAACATATTAAAACCTATAGAGTCATTGCTCTCACTAAGGGTCAAAGACATAACCTCTCATTCAGGAGTCATAATGTTATCATTGAACTAAACGTCTACATAAAAAAGTCGAAGAGAAAAATGATGACTAAACTATACTATTTTATCACTTGAACTACAAGTAAATATGGATCAGCGGGTATTAAAGAGTAGAACACATCTTTTTTATTGTAAAGAAAACTCAAAAAACCAAAAGTATAAGGCCCCGTTTGGCATCAGCGTCAGAGATTAGCATTAGCGTTTTGAAAAAGCTATCCGACGGTAGCCTTTAGCGTTAGCGTTTTCATAATTAATCTGCACCGTTAAAATTTTATCTAAAACGCTAACGTTAATCGAAAACGCTATTACCAAACAAATCCTAAATCTGCCAAATTAAAACTCCACAAAACGTTGGGTCTGGCAAAATATGTGCACGCTGACTTGAAAATACTAGTGATCCCAGTTCAAATACAGAAACCCAAACAAAGCACACACAAGAGCACTAACAAAGTACTGAACAATAGTCACAAAGATGCAAGAAACATACTAAAAATAGGGATATTATACTGTACAATAAAAGCATTTTCTAAAATAGAGAACATATAAATATATATAAGCAACTAAGGCTTCCAAGAAGAGCGGTGCCGTTCCTCGCGGTTGTTGCGGAAAGCGCAACATCCGACAGAGTAGACGACGACGAGGATGACGAGGAATGCGATGTTGAGTTTGGCCACCTTCTTCCAGTTGGATTTTATGTTGTCGATCAGCCCAGCTTTGCATGACTGGCAGCTGTAGCACAACCTGTTCGGGTCGTTGCCCCAAAGATCACAGTCCGTGTTGGGCCTGATGGGCTGCCCCGTCTTGATCCAGTTCGTTGGGCTCACATACGTGAAGTTGCAGTCGTTCGATGGCTTGCAGCAACCGGACTGCATAGTATATACGAACTAGTTCGTTACCACATTCTTCAAATCTCATCATGAAAATACCAAGTATTAAACTAACTACGCGAACCAATTCAACCAAATAGTTCAACTTTGGGCTGTAAGTTGCATTTAAGTTAATTTTAAGAAATGTTGAGTGACGGAGAAGTTCGAACTTGTTATTTTTAAGTCTGAACGTTGCAAAGTATCGACGTTAAACAAACAATTTAACTAAAAGTTTAAACATGTGATTCTAAGATGTGGAAAAGTACCTAATCACAACAAGTGTTACTCGTACGAATATGAAAACTTTTTCTGAACCTACAACTCGGGATTGAGTTGGTTTCGTTTGACACGGTAACTATAGTTTATTAACCAAGAAGTCACGAGTTCAAACCAAATGTTACAAATAATTTGTAATAGAGGAAATAACAATGTTTAAGTGTTCTAGCTTGAATGCAGAAGGTATAAATAAACATCACATTTTTTGACAAAATTAGATGAGGATAAACAGATTCGTTCTTCAAAGTTTGAATACTCACAGATCACATCTCAATTCTCAAAGGGGCATAAAAGAAACAGACCTGAAGAGCAGAGAGGTGTTGTTTGTAGAAGATATCAGCAACAATCTTATTATTATTATTATTGGCATCATCGATCAGTTTCTGACAGATCTTACTGTCCTCGAGACAGCTACGGATCCTTCCCCAGTTGTGATCGACCTTCTTCTGCAGCCAGTGGGAGTAATCTCCGAACCTGTACTCCTTATATCCTCTGCCGGAAATCGCCTCGCCGGCGCCCTTGTTGGTGACCACGAAGGCGAAGATGGTGAATCCGAAGAGGACGACGATGAGGACGAAGACACCGGCGAGGTAGATCCAGAGAAGCCAGGAGACTCGGCAGCACGCGCCGATGACGCCGGCGAGTGAGAAGAGCAGGAGGATGACTCCGACGGCTATCACCGGCTTCTCGAAGTAGCGCTCGCAGTCGGTGTTGGACTGCCTGGAGAGCCAGACGCCGCCGGCGATGATCGGGATCGAGATCAGGAGGGAGATCACGTTGAGGATCCCGAGCAGATTGTTGCTGGGTTTCACCATTTCTCTGAGGACCGATCGACGACTGGGGTGGTTGGAACACGTGCGGCGGGGAAATTCGGGAGAAAGTTTGGAGAAAAAGGTTAAAGAAGAAGAAGAATTTGTTGAGAAAAAAAGGGGAGAGGCTTTTTCTTTTCTTTGTTTTTTTTCTTTTCGTTTCTTACTTTATTTGCTTTGTGAGTGGTGGAGGGGTAATAACCGTAAATATTGGGAGGAAGAAGGTTGGAAGTTGTAACCGATGACGGTTCGATCGAGAGTGAATTGCCAGACCGCGTTTGGTTGGCTTGTTTTTGTCCCTATTGAAAATTATTAGTAGTACTGTAGTACTATACTCCACGGCAAAGAAACGGCAATTGTTTGGTGCTGCATCCCTATCACGTTTAACCATTCTATCTTACAAAAAATTATTCAAAACAATCTTAACTTTGCTCGATTTTTTAAAAAATGATCTTATTTTTAATGAAATTGTGAATTTTGAGTCTCTGTTAAATTACTCACAAGTTAAATGGAATGTCTGTTTTGCGTGACAAAATAAAAGTTAGGATTATTTTCGATGAAATTTTATTTTTTTTAATTTTTTTTGAAATTTTAATTTAAATTTTAAAATTATTTTCTACTTCCACCATTTCTATTTTTTTAATATTAGTCTAACTTTGGATAAAAATAAAAAAATTGATGTAAAAAATAATGAAAAATGAGAAAAATACTCCGTAACTAAAATCATATAAAATTAATGAAATAAATCAGGTAATTAATAAAAACCAAACTGAAATTGAAAAGAAACAAAATAAAAATATAATGAGTGGAGTGTTATAACATTTAACGCATTATATAAAGTATTAATGTACTCCGTACTACATAAATTTAGGATTATTTTAGATATTTTTTTTCTTAAAAATAAGAAGTGATATATTAATGCTTTGTTTAGTGTATAAAATGTTAAAACTCACCACTCCATATATTAAGGGCATATTCTTTAGGACTTGAACTCTTAACTTCCAGTTCTGTTCTTTCCAGTTTCTTTCACTTTCTTCCAGTTTCTTCCAGTTCTTCCAGTTCTTTCCAGTTTCTTCCAGTTTCTTCCAGTTTTTTTCCAGTTTATTCTAATTTCTTCCAATTATATTTATTTTCTTCAAATTCTTTCTACTTTCTGACAAATCACTCTAAAAAAATATATTATTATTATTATTACAACTTTTTTTAATTACAACTTTTATGTTCATAACTATAGTTTATAAATTATTTCATTTTTTCATCTCACTATTTTTATGATTCACATTCATTATTATTTTTTCTTCAACTTTTTAATATGAATAATACCGTTTTTTTATATTAATCTACATGAAAAATTAGGAAACTATTTAAAAAAATTATGGTTAAATAGTTATATAGAATATTTTTTAATCTAAATTTATATAAGGTAAACATCAATATTTTAATCTAAAATATAAAATATGGAATGGGTGGGGAGTACTACATTATGAAAACCAAGAGAAAATTACATTTTGAAAAAGAAAAAAAGACCCAAGAAGTGTAAAATGGAAATTCAACTAACAAATAACATCACCAATAATTAAAATACAACTAACAAAAAAAGTTATAGTTTCATTTATTTGATTTACTTTTTAGTGTCTCTAATATGTAAATTATACAAACTCATATCGGATAAAGAAGACTTAGAGCGTCTTCGAGCTCTTTGAGAATATGGGACGAAGAAGAAGAAGAATTGAGGCGAAGGAGGGAATCGGCGAATCGAGAAAGGAGAAGGGATTAGGGTTTTGATTTGTTTATTGATTGATTATTCTAAAGGAGTTACATCTCTATATACAGGAGACAAAGAAACCATAGCTAATCATAAACCTAACCTGACGGTTTAATAAAGCGACGAGGGAAAGAACCGTAAAGAAACCTCGAAGGAGCTTATAATTTCACTCACCTAATAAAACCTAAATTACAATAATAATACTAATAATAAAAATACTATTAAATATCATACTCTACTATCCATAACAGTAAAATAGTGTGCATATAAATATAAATAATCCAATCATTCTCAACATAATCATATTTTAAAAACTATAGTTCGTATATAGTACCTTCAATTAAGTTTAACTACATTGTAGAATATTAAGTGCTTGTTCATCTCTAAACTGTTTCATTGCATCTTTAGTTTGTTCATCAAACAACATCACCTTGGACCTATTTTAAGTTGTTTGCTGCCTCAGTGAAATTGGTATTCCTTTTCGATGAAGACGAATGAAATTGTGCAAAGTGCATGTTGCAATGACAATTTGAATTTGGTGCTCCTATTTCATTGGAGGCATCCTGTTGTGCAATATTTTTCATGTGTTCTTCAAAGTTCCAAATGTTCGCTCTATAGTTGTTCTCAAAGATGATGTCCCTTATATATATATATATATATATATATATCCTAAACGAATAGAGAAAAAGAAAATAAAGAGGGAAACCAACAACAATATACAAAGGGGGGGGGGACGAAAAAAGAAGCGGAGAAAAAGACTCATTGAGTTGTCTTTATTACTCAATTCTTTCTCATTTTTATTTATTTCAAAAATAGTTTTGTTTTGTATTTTTCTAATTTTTATAAAAAAATTAAAAGTCAAAATGCTTTAGAAAAAATGACTAATGTAAGAGTATAACATAAAAAATGTAAAAAAAACAGTTCTATGTTTTTATTCAAAAAGTAGGGTTACAATGGAAATAAATTGTCAATCCTTAAAGAAAAAAATAGGTTTGATTACATTATGTGACATGTCAGATATTTAAAACAAAATCTTGTAATATATAAAATATAATTACAAATATATTATTTTATATATAAATATAACATTTTGATATTTATGCTAATTTTATATTCTAATTATTTTTTTAAACTATCTTTTTATGTATGAAAAATAATATTCGTAATATTTTTTTATTTTAGAGATAATCATTTAGATAACGTGATAACACTACCACTCCCACCACCACCACCACCAACAACAACAATAACAATAATAATAATTCCTTAAAAAAAAAACAACAACAACAACAATAATAATAATTATAATTATAATTATAATAATAGTAATAATAGTAATTTATATCAACAAAAATCAGAATGAGAATAATTTAAAACCACACATAAATTTTTTTAAAAACTTTTTTTAGATTTTATAATTTATTCTAGTTTTTTGAGTTTCTTTTAATTTTTTTTCAGTTTTTCCAGTTCCTTCCAGTTTCTTCCAGTTCCTTCCAGTTTCTTTCAATTCCTTTTAGTTTCTTCCCGTTCCTTCCAGTTTCTTCCAATTTTTTCCAACATCCAGCTCTTTTTTTCCAGTCCTAAAGAACAGGCCCTAAGTGATTACTTTATCCAATTTCTTCAAATTTCTTCCAGGATCCAACTTTGAAAATCCAACAAAAAAAAGAAGGGCCTTAAGGTTTGATTGTTCTCAAATAATTTCATGATTATTTTGAGAGTAGGTTTTGAGAAAGGGTAATTTACCTAAATAGGACTAAAACTTAATGACTTTCTCAAAATAGGACCATATATTTTTATTTCCCAATGTAGGACTATTGGTCATTATCTATTAGTCATTATTCAACTAAATGTCTAGCATCACTTGGACATTATTCTTCTCACTAGTCATTATTAAGTCTTATTTAAGGAATAAAAAAGTTTAAGTCCTACATTGGAAAATGACTTATGTTTTACTCCTATTCAGTGCAAATTTCACACTGACAAATTCAAACGGTTGGGAGCTGAGTTTATTAAAAAAAACCATCACTAATCATCAAATTTTTGGAATTATTTGTAAGGGAGCCTATTCTTTAGATATGTAAAAAAAGAGCTTAACGTTGAAAAAAAAATCAGAACAAACTAGAAAAAACTGGAAAACATTGGAAAAAAACTTCAAAAATTCATTCAAGTGTATTTTCCATATTATTCTTATTATAATTGTTATTGTTATTGTTGTTCTTGGTATTAACATTATTATTATTATTATTATCATCATCATCACAATAGGTAAATAAAGTGAATAAAATTTGATCATGTAATAGGTAGATCATAACAATAATGATGTGCCACATCATCACAATGTCGTATTTAAGACTGGCTATGACACATGCATTCTGCTCAATGGATCCATTGATGAAATAAAACTTGTTCTTATTAGAATTAGATCCAGGGCCGGCCCAATAGGGGGACAAGGTGTCCGTCCGGGCCGGGCCCAAAAATATCAGGGGCACAATTTTTTTAAGTATTACTCCCTTCGTCCCGTAAAACATGGGATGTTTGTTTTTTGAAGAGATTTAAAGAGAGTGTATTTTGGTATTGAATTTCCAAAAATGTCCTTTGATGTGATGGGTAAAAGTAGGATTTGATGGATAAATTATTAGTAAAAAAATATGATATGATAGGTAGGATATGAAAAAGTAAGGGGTAAAAGTGACTTTTTAATAGAAATAAGAAGTATTTTTTTGGGACGGATGAAAAAAGAAAGGAGAAAGGTTTTCAGGGACGGAGGGAGTATATATAAATGTACATAAGCCCAGCTGTCCAGGCCCAGTCCACCCATGACCCATCCAACCGACCCAAGTTATTACCCCTCAAGGCTCAATTCCTCCGCTCGTAGCAAAAATCGAATAGAAGATAAGCTTCCGACAGAACACTGAGAAATCGGACCAGAAGAAAGAAAGGAGCCGAGTCGCCGCCGGCCGCCTCCACCGCCGGACGCCGAGTCGCCGACCTGCACGGCTCCACCCTCCAGGTAATTAGTTATAGATTACCACTTTCATTGTTTCATTTTTTTTAGATTTAAAATCTAGGGTTAATTATTAGTTTTTAATTTGAAATCTTTTCTAACTTCATTCTTTGAAATAAAAAAATGAATGATTATATGTTATTTATTTGATTTGGATGAATTGATTTGAATTTTTTATTTGTGATAATGATATATTTATATTAAAAAAACCGAAAATAAAAAAAATTAAAAAAAGAAAAAATGACGAATTGATATTAATTTATGATTTATTTATTTACTTGCTTTTTTCAGTTTTTTATTCTTGATTTTACTTAGTAGAATTTATGAATTTGGATTTTATTTTAGAAATAATTCAA